GGAAAAATCAAGAAATGATTATGGCAATACAAAGGATATCGAGAATAAAGATTGAAGTCATTCCTGTAGTTATCAGTGTCCTCAGAACAGTGAAAAGCGGCCAGTAGCGCTTACTAAAGTCAATTGATAAAGCGATCAAGGTGGATGCATTGCACTGGGCTACCCTGCTAGAAACAGTAAGTGTTGCAGCTCTTTAACTAACCCTTTATAGAGGGTTGTAGCTGATTTGATGTTCATACCACTTATGTTATATGTTGTGGAGTGTGATTGAAAAAAATGTAATATATTAACACTGAAACGGGTAGAGAGTTTCACGTATATCGGATTTTCACATTTTCATCCTCATGGCTAACCGGGTAAAATTCAGATGTCTGACAAGGTACTATGGCGAGTAATACTGGCGCTGCCTTTCGAGATTGGGAAGTCACGGTTACGATGGTTTGGTTAGCCTTGCCAATGTTTTTAGAAAGTTAAGCGTTAAATCTACTACTTGTTCAACCGATTAACCTAAGACGTCGGGAACGGCAAAGAATGACCTGGTGCAAGCGTCTAGACAGAGTTTGCTCAGGATTCATCTTGTCTTGTGTCGAATTTAAACGCTGGCACGGGGTCGAATACGTTGGCGACACTGTCTGATGCATCTGCCTTTGCGTTCTGAAGAATAAGGGTTCATCGAAACTGACTGGATGCCTACGTTAACATACAACGAATATATATTTTAATATTTTGGTTAATGTTGGTACAAAATCACTGGCTAATTTTCGTTAAGACACGTTTGTTGACTGTTGCTATCAACGAAAGGTTTGCGGATTAGTGATTTATGACCTGATCTGAACGATGTCTCAGGCGGATATTAAGCATATGTTCGTTTTTTTATCGGATATTGCAACGCATGATTCTGAGAATAGTACATGTTGTCTGTACACATTTTCATTTTGTTCCTCTAATTCTAGAAAGGTCTACTGATCACCTTTTCTGAATATACTTTTAGCGCTGGATTTTCGACCAATTAACTGAGTGCACCACTCCTGTTCACAAAGATATTCCTTCGTTGATCCAAGTGTATGCCGACAGTTGTTTTCATCAGTATCAGAAATCGTCCATTGAATATCCGTCAACCGATGGGCCGCTTGCTGAAGAAAATATAAAAGTTAAAATAGACAGCTGTTTGATTGTTGCGATTAGTCTTTCCTTTGCTGTTGTTTTAGAGTTTGTTTTTGACAGACGTCTTTCGAGAGACTGAGATCACATGTCGCATACTTTTCCTTTATTATCTTCTGTACTACCAAGAACTACTTTTCAAGAATTTGCCTGCTATAGGTAAGACGAACCTTAATGATAATTGAATGTGCAACATGTTGCGTACGGTACAACAGCTTTCAAAGCTTTGTAAGGGTAGAATGATAGGAGATTGTTAGAAAGAAGAATAGAAATTGTGATAGGATAAAACAATCAATTATATTAAAACCTCAAAACTTAGCGTGTATCACGCAAGTAGCATATTTTCTCTTTTCAGAACGTAAGCCGATTCACCGTAGCCGATTTGTCGATGGGTCAGATTGTCATTTTTGATAAAGGCGAATTAATTATAGGCCATATTGTCGGTTTGAATACGAGAGCATTCTTCTTAACATGGAAACAATTACCAATTTTTCCGATGTAACTGGTGATCATTAAAATAGTACATTAGGTAACAGTGCAATGCTGAATTATGATGCTGTAATAGTTTGAGATGTTAGAAGTGGCATTTCGTAGAACATACTGTAATGAGCGAAACTACGGTCGTTCATTCATCAAAGAACATTTTATTCTCCGACAATTCCTTGTTTTGCTCTTTGGAGAATAGTGACGCAGTGCATCGATAGTTTGCTTTGCACTTAAGAAATACTGGATTCAAGTACAAGCACGACGTAAATTTTCTGTTATATACTGCTAATTCCCTTGAGCATAGAAATGGTCCCGCCGTGTTACGATTCATCCAGCCGATAAAATGCGTATTAAGTAGCTGACCTGCGAATAGTACGGCGAGAATGTTGTTTTGGAGTACCATGCCAAAACATGCGAGACATTAGACTATGCTACTATCATATGTGTGTGCCATGCGGCTGAAATTTCCCTTGACTCATCTGAAAGCTAGCCGGATAATAAGTTAAAATGTTAAGGTAAATTTTAATTTTAAAAAGCCATATACTGGTTTAGAACATTTAGAAAAAAAGTTCTGGGCATAAGGTTTATGGAAAGTTTTAAGAGCCCTTTTCGCCCAAGTAGCATTAAAAGACTTTTGAAGATATTTCGATTCCGGTTTTAGGATTGGGAAATTGCTGGTCTTTATTTCATTCGGCCCTATTGATGCTATCGGTGTCGGTAACGAAATTCCTCCATTTTTAGTAGACATTAATGTCATTGTTATACAATTCTGGTATCCTATTCCTCGACAATGTATTAGGAATATGTTCAATTGTTGTAACACAGTTAGAACCGTTTGTTTACGGTTCGCACTGCGTGGATGCGGGAAGTGGTATGTTTTTTATTGCTTAATTGAGGACTGAATTCTAAGAAGAAAGAATTGAAATCGGGAGAGAACATTGGAAGTAAATATATAAAATTGGTAATGAAATTAGAAGTCAAAAACTTATGAAATGAAATGAATAAGCACAAGAAGTCTGCTGCTTGGTTGTAGCTAACAGATAGTTCTCAACGTGAAACGAATCTTTGATTGGGGCGTTTCATGATATCGACCTTTCATAAAAGAGAAAGGAACGAATATTTATCACCGTTAGAGTTTTGGCCTTTCTTATGCTTTCTTGATGGGGACCTTCCTACTAGCTGCTTACTAACATAAAGTTAATTGTGTGGTGTTGATCTTTCTTTTTGGGCCATTAGCCAGCAGTGCCTTCTTTGAAACGCAGAGTCAGCAACCGTTATTTTTGGAACAGTGTATAGTCTTCTGTTTCCTTCCCACAAAGTGGCACTCGTCAACCTCAGATGGAAGAAAGACGAATGACCTCGTAGGGGCTCGAACTAGGAATCTTTCAGTTCTAAATGAGACGATCTACCGAGTCTATAACAGGACTATGACTATGTAGCATGCCGCTTTACGACAGTTTATTCTCTCAGCCAATCAGTTTGGACAGCCCTGATCTCTCAGGAGAGGTATTAGTTAGCTTTCAGTTGGAAGGCGATTAGCCTTCACTTTCCTTTCCTTCACGTCACCTCCATTTTCCTTTACTGACGCCTGTTTTGCGGTTGCGAGAACACCGATGACATGTACTCAGACCAATAGCTGGTTAGTTACATGAGCTTTTGCGCCGTCGTTTTGTCACGTTTGTTGGCACGACTGGCAAAATATATATGAACTGGTTTATTTGTCTATAAGGATCAATGTTGAATGAACGCAGAACCACTTTCACCTTCGTGCGTACTTATCGCGGTGTCAGTATTCCGAATTATTTCATCTCGTGACATGCGAGATGAAACTAACATGTGATAATGACGCTGTCAGCCTCTGTTTGTATTTCAGTCGAAGACAGCTTGGAGTGATTATTGATTCTTTTATATGAATTTTTATTTTTTAACTTTGTGTACTTTATAGCAGCTTCCAACAGTTCTGCGCTCGTCACTGAGTACTCTCACAACCTTTTCAGTGTTATTCCGGTGTTCTACCTCGTGACCTACGTCGACAAGCATGCGGTCGATTACTCGGTGCTTCATGCATCGTTGATGGGGTGCGTTGATGTTTCTGTTTTTTGGAATGCCGTAACTGGTTTCAATAAGTACCGCGATTTGCAGGTTGGCAAAAACTCGTTATCCGTACTTTTTCTCAACGCATTGTAGCTCATTTTACGAGTTTTTGTCCGATTCCGATACCACCGCGGTTGATCTGCCCAAAAAACACGAGGTTTCCTGCTGTATGTTGGAGACGGATGTTTTTGAACCCTTCTATAGTTTCATTTGTTTCAGCCTTGAAACGTGCCAGCAGCCATTCAGCTTACTGTATTTTGATGCTCAAGAAACTGCTCACTCTGCCGCTTCCGCTTCTGGTGCCGTACTTGGATACAATTACGTCCAGTCTCCTGTGCCTCTTGAAACCGTCTGTGCCACGCAAAGTGTTAATGTTGGTGGCTGCCATCTGGGACCGCCTCGAATTCATGTCTCCATGGCAACTCTACTGTTCCACCATGTGGTTCCTTCTCGACGCCGACTGTCGTAAATCTCGTTCATCTCAGGCGATGGTAGATCACAAAGAGCTACGCGAAGATATCTTGCTGATTCTGCGTTGCGACCGACGTGTTTACCGGTAGCCATATTATATTATCTTGCTGCTGTGATAACCAACATTATTTTCAATGTAGCCCCTATGGACTTTCAGTAATTCAATTATGATTAGCATTCATATCCTGCAGTAATATGGTATTGGTATAGTATATTAAAGAGCGCTCCATGCATTTTAGGTGCTTAAATATCATGGAGCAGTGACATACTATGATCTGCTTAATTAACTTCTAATTAATTTTAATCGTACTTTGATCAGTTGTACGATGTATCAATCGATTGAACAAAATTAAGCCTAATTATTAATATATTCCTCATTTTTGGAGCCCCATTTTGCTCTCGCTGAAAATGCTTGTGAAAAGCAGCCGTTCGGCTAGCGTCATTGGTAACCATTGCTCTGGTGAGTAAACGTTATGCAAGATTAATCAGGTGCATTTCAACTGCTAAAGTATAATGGAGCCATATACCAATTTGGATCAAATCTTACGCGCTGGAGGCAAAGAACTTGGTTGATTTTCTTATTATTAATCCGTTAATGTTTTATTTTGATATCTCACCTGTGTCGGTGCCATCTGACATTGCTTTCTTTGGTTGCAGCAATACCTTTACTGAAATACTACGTTCCAAGAGCTGAAATTTTCCTACCGATTAGTAATATAGTAGTCTATCGTGTGTATCAGTGCTGGTGTATACAAATCGAATTGGTATCGTGAAATCTATTATGTGTATTTACATTGAAAATAGAAAAATTCCTAAAATAGTTTTTTTATATACAGCGCATACAAATAAGTTGGTGAATCGAGTGACTGATCAGTGCCGACGTTTTGGCTTGTATCTTCCGAGACTTCTTCAGGGTGGTCCAGCTTCGTTTCTGCAGTTCATTGTATGTCCGCAGCTGTTGTGATAACTGGAGCCGAAGGTGTGCTTTCACCCATGCTCCTGGTTTAGTAGTTACCGTTTCACTACCTTGATATTGTTCCATGTCATTCCGTGCAAAGTTTTTTATGTTAGTCCTTTCTACAGGTTGACATTTTTGCATGATTGGATAATTAGGGCTTCTTTGATCCGTCTGCTGAGCCAGTTTCTTTCTTTAAAAATGACGAATCAGAGAAAC